TGCGACACTGTATCATCTGTTTAAATGCTATCGGAAAGCAGACAGCATCCGGCTCTTATTATGTGTTTGGCCACAATAGGATAACAACACTGAAACTCAGTTCAGTAAAGGTGTAGAGATGAAACAGAGTTTTGGTTGAGATGTGCAGCTTATCAGATCTTCCTTGATCCAACTTGGTCACTGGTAGCATAAATTGTTTCAGTGGCATGGTGTATTTATCAGCTTTGACTAGGAGGCCAGGTACATTCTTATTTAGGCAGAGGTGGTCTGGTGTCAATTACCTATGTTTTAATGGGTTAGGGTATTGTAGTCCTCGCTTAGCGACTGCCCTGCTTCGCAACTGCTCGAAGTTACAACGGCACTGAAAAAGTAACTTTACAACCAGTCTTCACACACTGATCACATGACCATTGCAGCATCCCATGGTCACACGATCGCCATTTGTGAGCTTCACAGACAGCTTCTGACAAGCAGAGTCAATGGAGAAGCCGGAAGTAAAATCGCAAGTCGTAGTCACATGATGTCTTGCTTAATGACCATGTCACTTAGTGATGGAGTTGCTGGTCCCAACTGTGGTCGTTAAGTGAGCTACCTGTACATGGGATGGCCCCCAATAACTACTAGGCAACTGCAGTTCATGCAGAATATGATTGCTAGTTTTCTAACCAGGATCAGTATTACAAACCTATTAGATCTGAATTATGTCAGCTGTAATGACTCTGGGTATATTTCATAGATTTAAAGAGCTTTTTTAGAGGGCCTTCATAGATGAAATCAGGATACTTTATGTATCTAGCCATACTGTAAGATTTTCTGTGGTAGGTCTTTACAGGTGCCTCCACTGTTTACAGAGAAAGGACCATGATATTCTGGTTTTTGGTTTATGAAATATATTTTTGCAGTTAAACTTTTTAATTTGATTGACAAAAATTCTTTCTCCATTCTGTGAGTGGAAGACTTGTCTTTCCATCTTCCTTTAACCTCATTTACATCTATTAGGTCTTTTCCATAAGTACTCTACAATATTCCTAGCTTAGTTGTAAATTTTCCTGTGTTTTCTTTGATCTCCTTTGAGACATCTCATTTTTCTTTTTTCTTTTCTTTTCTTTTCTTTTCTTTTCTTTTCTTTTCTTTTTTCTTTAATTATTTATCTTTGTTGGTATTCTTGACTGTTCCCTCTTTCATTGTTTATTTTATTTATTTTATCAATCAAACCACTTGGATTTCTTCCTGTTGGAAATTTTGGGATTTTTTTTTCCCATGTGGGTATTTCTTACCTTTTCCGAAACCCCTTGAGCTTTTTTGTGGGGGACATAAATTAAGTACACTGAATCTGGCCTTTATGTCATATCTTACAGGTACACTTATTCTCTTTAATTTTCTATATTTGACACATATATATGTAAATGTTTATTTAGGTATTAAAGTAATTTGAATGCCACCTTTTCATCAGGCCTCATAGTCTGTCCCGTAGACTCCACCTGGGTTAACCGGATTGCACTTTTCAGTTTTCTTTCTGATTCTATTAAAAGAAGATTTTACGGAGATTTTAAAAACGACAGGAACATAGAAGAAAAAATAGAAAAAGAAAAATGATAAAAGGGTAAAAGAAAAAGGAAAGAATAGCAAAAAAGCAAGAAGAAGAAACATCTCTAAAGAAGCGACTTCCAATCTCTTTTGCAGCAAACATAGCAATTACCACCTCCACCTTCCCATATTGCATTTCATAGTTCCCTTCTTCCCATAAACAACCCTTTTTAATCAATAAATCCTGAAATCAGCAGCTTGTTTTTATGCGTTTTCAGAAAAAAGTCTTTAAAGGGTTTCCAGTCTTTTATAAAAGTAGTTGTAGTCAACTTAGCCATTTTTGCAAATTCAGCCATCTTCACAGTCCATTCCTCCATTACTGGTGTTTCTGTAGTCTTCCTTCTTTGTGCACGTAATAGCCTTGCTGCAGTTACCATACAGATAGTCCTCGGGTTATAACTGGGACTGGGATTGCTGTCATTAAGCAATGTGGTTGTAAAGCACGATATCACATGACTGCATTGCTTAACAGCGGCAATCCAAGGCAGTCCTGGTTGCCGTCATAACTCCAAGACATGTGGGTTATTAAGTGGGAAATGGCGGGAGGCCCACTGTGCAGTCTGAGCGCAGGGAGGCTAAGGGAAGGAGGGTATGGTGCGGTGCACAGGAAGGTGGGGGGGACTTATGAGAGTGACTTGTGACCTTCCCTACCGGCTTTCATGTTGACTTCACTTGTGGGAAGCTGGCAGGGAAGGTCGCAAATAGCAATCGTGACTGTGGGACACTGCAACCATTGTAAGCGTGAGCTGATTGCCAAGTACCCAAATTGTGATCATGTGATTGTGGGGGCGCTGTGACGACTGGAACTTCGAGAACCAGTGATAAGTACCACTTGTTCAGTGCTGTTGCAACTTCAAATGGTCACTGAACAAGTGGTCGGTAAGCAAGGACTACCTGTATAAAAAACCAATTGTCCACGAGCCTTTTCTAATTGACTATCTCTAAGTCCTAATAAGAAAAGTTCTGGTTTCATCTGAATGTTAATTTTTAAAACTCTCTGCATCACCATATGTAT